TGTATTTTTTTCTTCCTTCATTTAAATTTTTAGTCCCAGCTCTCAAGTAGAGAGAGAGAGAGAGAGAGTAGTACTACTCTCTATGACAATTCACGTGAATGCACGAGGAATGCTCGAGCCTTTGGTACCAGGTAAAGCTGAGGGTTCCATTGAAGGAATTTCTTAGAATTCTGTACAGTTATACTGTCATCGATATATCATTATTGCTAACTTCTTCCATCTCTCTTCAAATATTTCCAGAGTCTAGAAGAGGAGAAATTATTATGTGTGGAGTTCGGACATAGCTCACATCCAAACTCCAATGAGAAGCCTACACAATCCGTGTACAGCTTATACACGGGGTATATATAAGAAAAAATTATACCCATATTGTGTATAAGTTGTACACTGAATGTGTACAAACCACGTGGCTTCATTTCATTGGAGTCCGGACGAAAGCTACATCCAAATTCTACAGGTAATAGTTTCTCTTATAAGAGACAAAGGTCGGTCAGTCTTCACTCTCCATCATCAAACCAATACAACTCCCAACTAATCCAACCACATCAAACATCAAAAATAAAAAAAATATATATAGTATTCCATAAAACACACGTAAAAAAAAAAAAAAAAAAATCCTTCATTCATCAACACACACATTAGACTAAACCACAACGTTTATTTCCTCTCTCATCTCTCTATTCAACAACACTGCTGACTCCTTATAAGTAAATTCTTCATCAACCCAAACGAACACAAGCATTCATGATACTGCTACATATTTCAACCAAACTAACCAAGCTCTTAATAATCAGAAGAAGATGAAGAGATTAAGGGCACTTTGGGCGGCGGCGCTTCCCTTCGCCGGTGTACTTGTCTCTGTAGCAAGGGCATTCATCCTTGTTCCCATAGGTGCCGGAGGGCACACACTTGCACTCCTCACAGCAGACCCCGCAGTACTTGAGGCACCTGTCCTGAACGCCTGCCTTTGAACACCTCACTTTGCATTTTTCATCACAGAATGCTGTATGCATTCATTTAATCAAGTCAATATATGTTCAGCATAAGTAAAGCAAGCTATTGTTAAGCTAGTTTTCCCTATTTCTCTGTGTATGTTTGATTGGGAATGTTTGGCTGTAAGATCATCTCCAACCTAAAACTTACTTTACACTCCAAAATACAGTAATACTCTAAAATGCATTAATTCATCTCTAATTGAACTTTACTTTTAACATAAAAAAAGAATACACCGAGTATATTCTTCTTCAATTTGAAGAAATGAAGAAAA